GAAGACCAAACGTTTATTCTCTGGAGAGGACAACCTAGAGATTTGAGACAATTGGAGGTGCATTCAAGAGGAAAGGTGAGTGATGCACTGAAAATAGGAAGATTAAATCATTTTAAGATTTACATCTTAAGTGATCAAACTCCAGCCACCATTCCTGAACAGCCGCCAGAAACTTTCTGACCAGTCCAGTATGTCCAGATTGGGAGAATCCTTTCTGGGAACAATGACCAGATGAAAAGAAAATCCCTCCCCTTCCCCAGTTATCATCTGGGGTCCTCTACAATTACCCTACAAAAGACCACCAGTCAAGAAGCTTTGCCATCACACTCAGCGCGTCCAATCAGCTTTACAATGTCTTCCTCTTAGTTATGAACAGATGATTAAAACACTTTTGAAAAAAGTTTCCAGTATGTAAAAAATAAAATCAAATGTTAGAAAAAGCTTAAAAAACAGCGACTATACAGAAAACTAAAAAATACAATGATCCTATCTTAAGAGATATAAGATGTTATAGCCATGGAACAAGAACAGGAAGCTATGAAAAGAGAAAAGAATAAAGCTCTTGGAAATTGTAAATTTTGACAAAAATAACTTCAGTAGAGAGGTTAGAAGTTGAGAAAAACTCAGAACAAAAAGTTAGAGAGACAGCAGAGAAAAACAAATACTATTAGCTAATCAAATATCTAACCAACTAGAGAGTCCCAGAAAGAGAAAATAAAGGGGAAGAAATTATCAAAGAAAAAAATAAGACAATTTCCAGAACTAAAGTGACTACCTCTTTGCAATGAACATATGAGAAGCCAAGCACAATAGAAAAAAAGACCCTAAACAAGGCATATCACGTCAAAAAGTCAAAATACCAAAGGAAGAACAATTCTCAAAATATTAGAGAGAATTAAACAAAAGTCATGCTTAAACAAAAGTCATTGCTGATGACAGAATGCCATCAGCAATCATAACAACAGTGCTATATGCTAGATCACAAAGTAATACCTTTGTAAATCTGAAGCAAAATGATTTCCATTCTTTTATACCCAGCCAAGCTATTAATTAAATGTGAAGGTGGAATAAAAACATTTTCAAGCTGGCAAGATCTTGGGAAACTAACCTTTATTTGGAAGGTTCTGTGTTTTCTTGCTGTCAAGTCTTTACTTACACTGACTTTTAAATACATTGTATCTCCTGAGCCTAGGAGACATTTCCCTCTTCTCCACTCCCCAGTTTGTACTCCAGGAGCTAAATTTCATCCATCCATCCTGTAAGGTCTACTTTTCAGCCACCACCTTCTCCAAGAAGGATTTTTCTTTTCCTGCAGAGGGTGCAGTCTATTCTTCTGGGTACTCACAGATTTTCCCCCTACCCTCCAAGGTATTCTATTCTATACTTTATTACCATGACTTTCCTCCCTGAGCAAACAATAGAAGCTTCCTGTAGGCAGAAGACCTGCCCATGTCTTCTTTGCAGATATGACTTTGCAGTCCCTCCTACCCACCAACTGTGCCAAGTACAATTTCCTTAATATAGTAGATATTCAATGATGAGAGAATGGGTTCAAAATTTGATGTTAATCCATTCTACTAAGAAGATCCCACTGAGTCTCTTTTATCTCTGGCTCTAAGTCTTATCATGTCCAGACTCCCTCAACTGAAGACTCCCTGCATAAAGGATGGAAGGAATCATTTTTAAGGATTAATGGGAAAAAGAAGAAAATTATCCTTTTAATTAAAAAAAGATAACCGTAGGACCCAGTCATTTCACTCCCAGGTACATTCATATGAAAAATAAAAACACACACCCACCCAAAAACTTGTACATGAATGTTCAAAGCAGCCTGTTCATAATACCTAAAAGGTGGAAACACCCAAATGTTCACCAATTGATAAATGGATAAATAAAACACAGTATATGCATACAGCAGAATATTGTTTGGCAATAAAAATAATGAAGTACTGATGCATGCTACAGCATGCATGAACATTAAAAACATTATTTAAGTGAAAGTAGCCAGTCACAAAAGATCACCTATGAATGATTCCATTTATATGCAACATCCAGAATAGACAAATCTACAGAAACAGAAAGGTAAATAGTAGTTTTCCAGGGCTGATGGGATTGGGGAAAACGGAGAGTGACTGCTAATGGGCTTGAGATTTCTTTTTGGGGTGAGGAAAGTGTTCTAAAACTGAGTATAGTGATGGCTGCACAACTCTGAATATACTAATCACCATTGAAATATACATTTTAAATGGGTGAATTATGTCTCAATAAGGTTGTTTTTATAGAAAAGATCAATGTAAATTAAATTCATATGTTACTTGTCTTTAAAGCAATATCAAAGAGCACAAACTGAAAAAAGGCAAGATTTGCAAAGTATGCCATAACTGAACAAGAGCAAAACACACATTTGGAATCAGAAAACACCAAGTTAAAAAACAAGGACATGTCAGTGATGTCTATTGGCATCAAAATTAATATATACTCTATCCCCCACTGTGGAGATTACTCATTTAAGAAAAGCATTAACAAAGGGATAGCAAAGAGTTGGGTTTTCTTGACAGCACAGAGTGTCTCCTTATATAATCATTTGTAGGTCACTTAATTTCAAAAGGTGGTGCCTCTAGTTTCAATTATGGACCAATTACCTTATTTCATACAAGTATTATTAAGGCAATTAGTGAATAATATATTCATATTTATATAGGACCAAGATCTGAAAGCACTACTGAGGTCTATTCCTGGCATTTGCACAGATTTATTTATTATATGTTATCTGTAAGGCAAGTGAGTAAAAGCACCAAAGTCTTTCTACTTATGGGACACTCTGATGGTTACAAAATAAATGTAGAAAATGTTGATTCTTCCAAAACAGATGTACAAAGTGTTTTAAAGTTAAATGGTGAATTCATATATTTTTAAACTTTAAGGTTCCATTTTGAAATAGGTCTCACAAAGGCACGATGTTATCTGGCAAAGGGAAATGGATAAAAATAACCTAATAAAAAACTAGACTTCTGAAATCCCTGTTTTGCATTCTTTCTTCAAGGATACTGCAATTAATAAACCAGACCAATCAAATCATGATTTTAGTATAAAGTAAAATTAAATCCTACTTTCTATCTTCTTTCAGAATATTCAAATTCTCACTTACCCTAGTGTAACTCATTTGAATGCATCAAAGGTTTAAGATATTGACCTAATTCTAAAGGAAAAAAATTACTATAAATTATTTTCATTAAACACTGAAATTAAACACTTCAATTATTTTGCCTCTGTTTTAAATTCCCATTTTCTTTCATCTTCTACATCATCTGTAACTATAAACCTTTTAGGTTGACAAGTAATATACACCCGGTTTGAATTAGGATCAACATTTTGATCCATGGTAGGTTTAGAGATATTTAAAAGTTCTTCGCAGCAATATCCCTTAACTCATGACTTAAGACAAAAAATGTCCCAATCAGATAACTAAAGACTTTGGAAAAAAAAACCTACAATAAATACATTGGGTTGTATGATGTTAAGACATGATGAGAAACTGTTTAATTTTGGTATGTGAAAATTACTGAATACATTCATTGCAAATGAAACAATCTTCTACCCTGGAATGCAAGGGTTTTTTTTTCTTTCTTTTTTTTTTCTTACTTTTCTTACACACAGCACAAAATATAGACTGCAGAACTCAGATTCTCAACTGCAATCTATATTAACTACAGTGCAAACTTGTAACAATTAACTTCACTAGTCATACATTCATTATCTAATGCTCCTCATCATTTAATTTCAACTTCACCATGGCTTAAGTGGCTAACTCTGGTAGACCAGATTAGTTGATGGCAACAGGGCCACATTTTGTGTCAGTTTCCACGGTTGCAAAACCCTCCGTATTCCTGCTGTTTATGAGCTGTGTCATGGTTAAGACTGCCAGACTTGGAGATGATTTCCCTGCTGGCTGAGGTGCGAGCATTGTTTTCGTATTTGGAAATATTGCTTTTTAGAAGTCAAGGTCTCCTGGCAGTTCCTTAGTGAACCACTATGGCAGCCGCGCTAGAGGTCATGAATATTACATAAGAGCTGTCCAGGCATTCAAACCAGAATCTCCAAGCCACGATTCCCATAGCAACACACATAGATTTTACTCATCTCAGAGATGAAGCAGCCAGCAGAAACGCTACCCTGATTTTTCTAGCAAGATCAACACAGCACTTACTCTTCTTCAAAGCAGTAATTTTTGCAAAAGAAACCCAACAACCATGCTAAAAAATATGTTCATTCGGAAGCTATTGAGTAACCCACAAACCAAGCCACCTTCAAGTTGGGTGACAGTCTATGCTTTAGAAATAGCTGCTGTTCAAATGACCACATGGACAAAAGAATTCAAATCATTACAATTAGTGAAATGAAACACAGCCTGAGATAAATCCTGCAATTACATATTTCATATCTGGTTTCCTCTATGTAAACATGCTTCATTATGATGAAATGGAGAAAAAAGTGTTCCAAGGAAAGAAACTTTTTTAATCAATAAAATCCTTTGCTGCTTTATTTTTGAAAAGCATAATGTGATCGGTATTTTAAATAAGACGACGACATTGTAAAACACCTATGGAGCAAAATTTGGGACAAAGATTTTTCAAGTCTAAGAATCTGTTTTTTAAACAGAGATATGGATTACTGGGAAAAATGATGTCAATTATCTTGATCTTGGATGCAATTTTTCCTCTTTATACATTTAGGAATATTTTTGGGTGTGTCTAAATAAGCCATCCACCCAGGGAAACAAATTATTTGGCTTATAATACAACACAAAAGTAAAGACCTACTCTTAGATACCACACTTCCTTTTTCTACTAAGAAAACATGCTCCATTTCTTTTTTAAACCAGACAAGGGATCACTCTAATAGACCAAACATAAGCTTTAGGGGAAACTTCCACAGGTGGTCCATCACCTGCACAGCACAACTTGCAAAGACAGATCTTGGCAGGGAAGAAATGGTCTTACCTTTGCTTTCTCCAACTGTGCCTGGGCCTGCCGCTGAGCTTCTCTGCGCACTGCCTCCCGGTCCTCCTCCAGAGATACATCTGAATCGGATGGACGGCTGGTGTAGGAGTCTGCCGAACCCTGGAGAGGAAAATGTACATTTTAAAATAGACTCAATCTATGATGTTTGCATTGGAAATGTCTCATCCACCACGGCAGCGAGCTTCCAGAATGATTCTATACATTCCTGAAAAGAGAAGAAAATAATCCATTTTGCAGCAATCCATCTAGAAAATCACGCTGTGGTTTGCAGACCATTTGTTCACTAGGAGAGTTGTGTTCACTGATAGTTGCCATTCCTTCCCAAGCCTTAGATTTCCAAAACTCCCCTTTCTGAAAGCCAGAACAAGTTTCTTGATAATCAAACCAGCTCGGTGGTGCAGTGCAGAGCTGAAGGGCACCCATGGGTTTCAAGGATAGCTTCAAGAACGATCTACATGCTAAAGCAAGTACTGAAAATTAGCAAGACATTAAGCCTAACAAAACCATAAAAAAGTCTAACGAGGTATAAACTTGAACTCTCCAAAATGTCACTAACCACGATAGGACTCCCACTTTCATCTTCAGAAACCTTTTATGTCTTTTTGTACACCTGCTACCTTTTCCGACAAAACTGTAAGACACTAGCAGCTAACTTCGCTCCAATCTTCCAGCAATACATTTTTTTTAAATCCTTACATAGATTTAATAGAAGCTGTACAGAAAACACCTGCCTGGGATAGCTCATCTGGCAGTAAATCACCAAAAAAAAGATAGGACTCTCCCTAGCTCCCTCTCTTGCAATCGTGATCAGATTAACTCAATCCATCCACCCCCTCTACCTGCATTCACTACAACAACAGAAGAGCAAAAGACAAAAACAAACGTCTCCCCAAACGAAAGCCCCTGTGCTTACACAGATGTCGGAATTCTTCAGCCTTCCTCCCTTGGCTCTTTTCAGAAGCCTAATCCAGGTGGCCTTCATGAGCCAGACAGCAGCTTTATCGTCCGCAGCTGCAGCCCGGGGCGCAGGTTGTCAGTGCGCGCTGAGCCCTGGAGAGCCCGAGCTCCCTTCCAATCCATGCTCTGGGCAAGCCCCTCTTCTCGTCCCCTTCTGCCTCCGGGGGCTTTCACTCCCTGCCTGGGAGGACTCCCATCCAAGGAGATTCTTATTTTCCCATTCCAGGGGGGGGGGGCGGAAAACACACACTCGAGTGCTTTATGTTGCTTTAAACATAAAGAGCTCTTCAAGTGCATTCAAAGACCGGTATCAACTCGCTGTAAACTTAATGCATCTCATAACCCTAAGCATTTTCTTCCTCGCCCTCGCGTTGATAAAGGAAATTAGTTGTAAGAGAACCTTAAAAAAAAAAAAAACTAGTGCAAAAACGTATGCAGTGACATTTGCGAGTGCAAAGTTCAAACCTTATCTTTGGAGATCTGGAGGGGGCGGGGGAGGGAGGGGGAGGAGGACGTACTCCGCACTGGGCATGCTCCATATGTAGCCTTTTTACGCAGATGCTCACATCACACTGTTAGTCTAAGTCAAATTGCCCTTTTACATCCGAAGTGTAAACAGCTGGAAAGGTCTTTTCGGTTCTATAGTAACCGGGCCCACGGTATGTTTGCTTCTGTTTCAGATGAGACAGTCTCTCCAAAACAAAGCACGGTAATCTCCCCATTTAATAATCCCTTTCCATTCATTACCTGCCCCAGAAAGTATATCCCATGCCATAAAGCAATTCACAGATAATAAATATCACATGCAATATGGCACAGCCGAAATCAAATAATGCTCATCGGATATGATACGGCTCTTTGTTGTCTGTGACTTCCCTAACAAGATGCGGAGAGAGAGATTTGGCCATTTAATAAGGACATGAAAGTAATCACAGCTCTATAAAGCCATGAGATTAACTGAGCTCAAAATGACTTTGAACTGCTTCTCCAACTGAGAAACTACCATTTGAGATAAAGCCACTGGCATAAATAGCAGTGTAAATTGTTACAATACTTAGGAAGAAATTTCAAAGCTTGGTTGATTTATTAGCTTCAGTTAAAATTCACAGAATTGAGCCCAAACCCTGCTTGCAAATAAGGTGACAGGGGTTTGAGAAGGAAAGATACTATGGAGTTATTAATTTCTTACTAATGAACAAATGAACACTTTCAGATTTCTTAGAGTCAATATAAAAATTCTTTTGCTGCATTCTAAACTGCATTCATTTGAATGGGATGGGATATTATTTTGTAAAGTCTCATGCAAATGAAATAAAAAGGTGTTTTTATAAAAATCTCCTCGCCCCTCCGACTCTGGGCTAATATCAATCTTCATCACCTAAATGCTAGAAAATACGTAGGATAGGGGCTTCAGCAAAAAAGTTTGAGATCAACTGTACTTTAATTGCAATATCACGATATAAATTAATAAATGGATTGCTTATTGTTACAAAGTGAATGTAAAATGCATGGAGGATAGAAGGGCATTGCAATTTTTTTGTAGAAGCAAAATTTACAAGGGAATAATGAGTCTTTCAACAGAAACAGACATAGTAGGGGATTCCTAGTTTTTCCAGAGGGCTTCTTAAAGCATTGGCAGTACAGTAGAAATGACCATAAAGCACAATTATATCCTTTGTCTGGTCCCCATTGTCACCAGTCTTAGCATTTTAGACCCAATCACCCCACTAAAGGTTCAGACAACACCTCAGTGAAGATACAAAGTTTTTGTCATTAAGAACTGAGTAATGACAGGAAGTACATACTGAGAGAGACAGCATAACACACACATAATTTTGTGTGATCTCATTCCTTTTTAAATGAGATTTTAAAAGTCCTTTGCTAATAATCAGATGTAGCTCTTGTGTTGCATAGTCATTTTGTGACTGGTTTGTAGGCTTAAATAATTACACAGTTAAAAAAAAAAATCTTCATTGACTTTTGGCAGTGATCTTTTGACCATTTGCAACAATTTATTAATCCTTGACTATTTTATGATAGGCGATGTGACAATGAACTGATCCTTAAAGTAGCTTATAGAAGGAGCCAGATGACCTTGATTCCTTTTATCCATAACAGTATATATTTTCAAAATATTTTTCATTATAGAAATTATAGGTACCTGGTATCAAAAGAGAGGGACAAAAAAAAAAACATTCCCTTAAATTATCCCACCCAAAGATAACCACTGTTCAATAGTAGCATGTTTCAATCTCCAAAGTTGTTCATCTTTGAAAGTCACCCTCCTAACATAACGCCTTACAATTAATCTCCTTCCTTTTGGGAGTGTGGATTTATGCAGTTAGAAGTGATATATCTAATTAAGCTTTTGCCTTTGGTACCATATGGATTTTCTGGGTCATTGTGCCTCAAGTAGTCTTCAATCAGGAACAGCTGGCAGTCATTTCCCTAACTCCGGAATAGGTTCATTACAGGATGTACCCTTGATCTTTACCGTGCCTATAATGTGATTAGCTGGTCTTTTGCAGTATTTGTCCTTGTAAGTACATCACATTTTCAGCTACTCACATTTCCCTTTCTACATCTCAATATTTGCCCTCCTAATGGTACAATTCTAGAATGTAACTTGCACCTCATCATCAATAGTCCATCCCAGCATCTTCTACTTTTATCCTCAGAAGTCTCACTCTAAATAGGTGTTCTTTACTTATAGGAAAATTCCATTTAATCAGATTAACTTATGCTTTTATCTACTCTTTCTTTTTCTGATTTTATGTCAAAATATTTGCACAATAAAACCATCATCACCCCCTTCCTTTAACACATTTGATTTGTATTTAAGAAGCTTGTTTTTTTGATGTTGTACTCTACTGTTTCACAGTCATGTATATTTTTCAACAACAGTTTTCTTGAGGATTCCTGTATTTTCTCTTTTAAACCTGAAAGGATATGAGTTGTGAGCCTATTTGAAAGTTGCATCTTGGATCCCAAATTGTGACATCTATGTATATAGGAAATCTTCTTATGGAAATCTAAAGCAATCTTCTTGAGTAACATCAATTTCTCATGGTATCCCAAGGCCTGATTCTAGACAAAACTATATCCCAAGAACATCATCAAGACTTCAATGTACCTCAACATGCAAAGAACTGTGCTAACCCAATGACAAATTTGACTTCAATTATTTCCCCCAAACCTGCCATGGGACAGATATCCCATTGCCTTTAAAAGACTGGTCATGCTCTCATCTTTTAAAATAAAAATTTTTTGAAAATGGGGTAGACTTCTAAGGACAAGGACCGAATAGAAAGGATTCTTTCTTGTATTGTCTGCTAGCAGGTGACGATAATTCTTTCATTTTTCATACTGTCGTCATCTCTTTTTACAGCTTAGAAGAATTAACTTTTGTTCTGTGATGCCATTTAGATCTAAGAAATGTGAATTGTTATCCCCGGCTTGATGGGTTTCTGCATAAACAAAACCATAAACCACTTATGCATAATGAGAGAATCCTAACTCTAAAAATCCAAAAATGATATAGGGTGCTGAGATAAAGCACATTTTCATAAATATTGTATACTTTAGTTTGCAAATGGCATGTAATTACTATGCAAATGTATACGATAAAGAAAACCTCAAATGTGACTGGCCTATCATTTGGCTTAATGTCAAAATAGTAACTGAGGTGATGGTAATAAATCTTTGCAAGGTCATCCTTGTGCGATACTTTTATGATTATGTAACAGCTAAAATGTTAGCTTCAATTATCTCAAGAGAATAGGAAAATCTGTAAGCCTAGTGTATGGCATATACCAATGAAGAGAGTAAATTTCACACACACACACACACACACACACAAAACAAAACACACGGAAAAACAAAAACCACATGCAATTATTGAACACTATTTTGAAACTTTGTGTTATAACTGTAAGCCAAATGTTGAAAATATGACTGTGAAAAAGATTAAAGCTTCCTTTTTTATCATGGAGCTTAATATTTTAGTGAAGGAGACTGATTTGATTTTAAAAGGTAGCAGAAAATGGCAGAAAAGACATAAAATAGGCTGCAATAGTCCAATGATGGGGGGAGGGATGGTATTTTAGTTACAGTGATGACAGTCTGAGATGACACCAAGTTGA